ACAAGAAGCTGCCACCGTTTGATTTGCTCATAACTCTGTGGGTCATGATTTTGGATGATGCTCAGTTTGATGGTTCTTCTGGGCTCTCCTGGAGTCTTTCATGTGGCTTAATGGAGGCTGAATTGTCTATGATGGTCTTACTGGCTGTGGTCCATTGATGCCTGGCAGTTGGTGCTGGGTATTGGCTGGGCCACCTGTTTGTTGCCAGCAGGCTAGCCTGGGCTTTTTCATATGATGAAAAGGTTTGAACAGCAGCAAGAAAAAGGGTAAGTTTCAGTGCCTCAGTGCTTTTCAAGCTTCTACTTGCACTATATTTGCTAATGCCCCCACTGGCCCAAGCAAGCCACATGGTCAAGCCCAGAATCAGTGTGGGAGGGGCTATGTAAGGTGACATCTACAAGGAGACATATTTTCTTGGGGACCATGATTCTACCAGTCCACCACATAAGCCTCAAACCAGTGACTTGAATGTCTGCAGAGATCGCCTTCCCTTGTCATTGCTTTTCTCTCCAAGTCCTCTTCATTCCTTTAGACATGCCCCTTTCCCCAGGGAAGGAACCGCAGCTGTCCTCAGCTCTAGAAATCACTTTCTCAGCTTCCCACTTAGGTGGTGGGAAGAACCCTGACTAGTCTGTCATGGACAGACACCTGTCCTGACGCTATGTAATTGGGATACTATTATCAGCAGTTTCCACTGTAACTACATGTTTGGATGGGGTTGTAGAAGGAACGGTTTTGGAGACACCATCCTAAAACTGAGGTGGTGTCCCTGGAATAACAAAGGCGTACTGGCCAGACAAGACCAACAGATGGAGTTAGGGACTGTTTGCACGGAAAACCTCACACTCTATTTCTGGAGGTTTTTATTTTGTTAGTTGGTTGAAAGGATCTGGTTTTAATAAGAATTTAAGGTAGTGTAAATTCAGTTTATATCATTTTCCAAAACATTACCTTATTAAAGAAAGCTATACATTTTCCTTGTTTTAAATTTTTATTTATTTTTTACTTTTTGGAAAAAGATACAGACTAGCATCTGATGCTGGCCCCAGTGGGAAATCTACCTGGGTGTTCTTGGTGGCAAATATACCATAGTGATTGCATTGTTGTCTTATTCTCCTTTTCCTGAAACTGTGCTGGAAAGACAGAATGCAGAAAGGCATTAATTGGCATTAACTGGCACATCAGTCAAGGCCTGAACTGGCACATCAATCACATCAGAGAAGGTTTATTTCTTCCTCCAATCCTGTTAGAAGTTTAAGAGCATGCGAAGGCTGTTCCCCATGTGCTCTGTGGATGGGCAAGCAGAAATGTCTGGGGTGGCCTTGGCCACCGAGCCTCTGATAGAGGCCTTTCTGCTGCATCGCATTGAGGTTCCCAGCACGGGCAGTGTCAGGGCCCACCCTTGCCTTCATTTAATTGGGGCAAAGGAAAGTGAAGAGAGAGTGCCTGACAGCGAAGGAATGCTGGCCTTGGGGAATGCTATCCAGTTTCCACAAATAGCAGAGATTCCTGAAGGGCTTAGAGGCAGGCTCTAAGAGGTAGCCATGGCTATGCGGTGCCTCTTTCCTCCCTGCTACCAGAGAGAGGCTGCTTGCTCTCCCTTCCCAGGGGCCTGTGCTAGAGTGCCTGGGCTTATTTCAGAAACTCTCCTAGACACAGGGACTGCTCAGAAGCACACCCGTAATTGGTGGAGCCAGCTCCTCTGTGCCTTGGTGCCCTGCGGCGTTTTACTGGGAGCTGTCTGCCCAGCAAACACTTGCCAGTAATTGTGGGACCACCACTTTTAGTTAACAGGCTCTGGTTTGCTGTCAAGGGGTTATGAGTTCTTCGGAGATGATTGGGATGTGTTTATCAACAGGATGGCTAAGGGGTCTTGTCTGCGACTTTGGAAGATTAAGGCAATCAGACTTCACCTCCCTCCCTGTACAACTGGGGCTTGCATCCCCACTGGTCCTCAGTGGGGTCTTGGAGACCAAGGAAGAGGAAAGTGGGATCTAGATTCGTCTGTGGTTGCAAAAGTGGATGGGATTAGGACAGTGCTCCTACGTCAACTGGCATCCCCCCCTCTTTTTTTTTTTTTCCTGAGAGGGAGTCTTGCTCTGTCACCCAGGCTGGAGTGCAGTGGCACTATCTCGGCTCACTGCAACCTTTGCCTCCTGGGTTCCATTGATTCTCGTGCCTCAGCCTCTCAAGGAGCTGGGACTCTGGACATGTGCTACCATCTCCAGCTAATTTTTGTATTTTTAGTAGAGATGGTGTTTTGCCATGTTGGCCATGCTAGTCTTAAACTCCTGGCCTCAGGTGATCCACCTGCCTCAGCCTCCCAAAGTACTGGGATTATAGGAGTGAGCCACCATGCCCAGCCTGGCATCCATCTGTTTTTATATTTTATATATTGAGTGAAGAGCTACATTATAAAATTTCTACAAATTAATAGACAGTTTTATAGATTTACAGAAAAGTTGAACAAAAAATACAGAGTTCCCATGTATTCTTCCCCCACAAAACCCTGGATGCCCATGTTATTTGTATCTTGCACTCATGTATTACATTAATTACAATGAACCAATGTTGATATATTATCATTAACAAGAGTCTGGTCAGGCATAGTGGCTCACGTCTGTAATCCCAGAAGTTTGGGAGGCTGAGGACGATGGATCACTTGAGATCAGGCGTTTGAGATCAGCCAACATAGCAAAACCCCGCCTTTAATAAAAATACAGAATTAGTAGCTGGGCCTGGTTGCATGCGCCTGTAATCCCAGTTACTTGGAAGGTCGAGGCAGGAGAAGCGCCTGAACCTGGGAGGTGGAGGTTGCAGTGAACCGAGATCTCTGCCACTGCATTGTAGTCCGGACAAGAGAGTGAGATTCCATCTCAAACACAACAAAACAAAACAAGAGTCTATAGTACACAGAAAGCTGTGTGTCCACCATCATAGTATCATACTGAATAGTTTTACTGCCCTAATAACGCCCTGTGCTCAGCCTATTTACTCCTTCTTCCTTCTCTATCAGCTCCTGGCAACCTCTGATTTCTTTCTGTCTCCACAGTTTTGCCTTTTATTTATTTATTTTTTAGCTTTATCATTTCAAACTATATTTAAAGACTATAGTAATGCAAACAGGATGGAATATTCAAAAACACAAAAACCATTGCAACAGAAACCACTACTTACACATTTCAGACATGATGTAAAAAGAGAATTAAAAAATAGTTTAACATAGAATATCTCAAAAGTATGCAGATATTTGTGTGTTCCCCAAAACAACAGAAAAGCAGTCAGATCATACAGTTCCTTATACACCATGAAGTGGACTCTTGGCTCTCACTGTAAACTTGAAAGAAGATCACCAAAGGCAAAGTAGAATCCTTAGAGAATTTAAAAGCTTAAGACAGAAGATGCCCTATGAGAGAGCAAAACAAACAAACAAACAAACAAACAGGCAAACAACAAACACCTCAGGCTTCCCAGACATTATTTCCTTTGGAACACAGCTTCCCAAATCACGTTTAAGGACTGGCTTTCTCCTTGATCTTTGGATTCTCATCTGTGTCATCTGTTGCATTCACTTTCATTCCCACCTACGGAGGCTTTGGCTACCATCTCATGTCCCTTCATGTTCCAAGGCTCTTTTTTTATTTTTTGCTCCAGACGGGTAATCAGATCTGGCTTAGAGACAGCAATACCCAAGAAGACCAGGTTTCTATAGTCTGCTAACATCCCATTTCCTTATGAATTCCACTGTGCAGTGTCCAGGCATTGCTACACTTTCAGAGACAATTCTATGGCCACATCCATAAATGTCAGTGGTCCCATTTCTAGGCTTCCAGGGAGTCCTGGCATCTTAGCTGTGCATCTCCCAGTACCTGCAGGTAACAGAGCCATAATGGAGCCACAGAGGCTGTCTAGGAGCAGGATTTTGCCTTTTCTAGAGATTATATAATTGTAATATGTACTTTTCACACTGACTTCTTTCACTTAGCAATATGCATTTATGGCAAGTCTTCCTGGCTTGCTAGCTCATTTAAAAAAATCATGAAGTAATATCCCATCTTAAGGATATACCATCATTTTTTGGATGTAGATTATTAAAAGAGGTTTTCTTCAAAAAGTATATTTAAAAATGGTCACTTTAGTGTTTATGGTTTTCTTTTATGAGGTGGCCAGGGTGTGGGATAGGTCAATCTGTAGGTATAGTGCCCCTAGAAACAGATGTGGGGGTGGAGTGAGAATGATTGCTTCATGGAAAAAAATAACAACACACACGCGCGCACACACTATCCATTTAAAATAGCTGATATTAGGGGAAGATCAATGGACCAAGAAGAGGACGTGACTCAGTATGATTTAGCAGAAACTGAAAGTTTGTTCATTCATTCATCACTGCTTTTTTTCATTCAACACTGATTTATAGAAAACCTGACTCTATGGCATACTTGGCCCTGGCAATGGAATAATGAACAAAGCAGATAAATGGAATTGATAAATGGAACTTTCAATCCTCATAAATGACACTTTCAGGAGAGTCAGCCTTTCACCAAAGAGTCACACTAATGAATATGTAAATACAATTGGAGTGAAGTGCTCGGAAGGGAGGAGGACTTGGCCTTTCTTGGAGGGTCAAGGGAAGTTCCTAGAGAAAGGGGCACTTGACGTGAAATCTTGAGGTTAACCAAAAGTTGACTTCAGGGATGGAAGAGGTTGTTGGGCCTATGATCAGTTCAACCAGGATCTTGCTTAACAGCCCCTTCTCCATTGTCTGCTCTATGGGGCGACTCCATTGTGGAATGCAGCTCTTCTTGGAATAATTGAAGTATATGGTGGGTGTTATCCTATAATACCAACCCAGATTGCTGCCAAAGTATCTCCAAGCAATACAGGAAGACAGGAGGGCGATAGTTAATGAAGCTTTATTTATTTATTTATTTATTTTGCTACATCTTCTTTTTCCAATTTTCCTCCAACACATATTTTGAGCAATTATGATATTTCAAATAAGGGGGTTTTAAAATTAAATGAAATATGGAGCCTGTCTGAGTCAACATATAATTGCATAATGCAGTCTCTGATGGCAGCTCTCACAGGGTCCTCTGGGAACATCCATGTCTGTTCATCCTGCAATATATTATTGGGTGTCTGCTGCAGGCTGGGCCAGGGATGTGGAGATGAGAGAGACACATGATCCACCTACAAGGACCTCACTTTCTAGTGCAGGGGACAATCTGTAAATGTAATTCAGTGCAGTGAGGTCTAAGAAAGAGACAAGAGGTAACAGAACTGTTTGGAAGAAGGCACTGTTGAAAGGCCTTGCCTAAAATCTGTTTGTTTGTTTGTTTGTTATTTGGAGATGGAGTTTTCGCTCTTGTTGTCCAGGCTGGAGTGCAATGGCACGATCTTGGCTCACTACCACCTCTGCCTATTGGATTCAAGCCATTCTCCTGCCTCAGCCTCCTGAGTAGCTGGGATTACAGGCACCAGCCGTCGCGCCTGGCCAATCTGTTTCGCTTTAAGCAAAGGAAGTAGACCTCTTTCTATTTTATAGGAAAATCATTTATGGAAGTCTATGTAAGTATTTTAGCTAAAATATTCTCTTTCACTTAATCTGAACCCTGAGATGATACATTCTCATTGTGGAAGAAGCCTCAGTGTCCCAGCATTCAATAAAGATCACCCAGCTTCCCATAGTGGAAGTCAGAAGCCACCATGTAGAGGTCAGTCTAGCTTAGATGCAAGCCACGTTGTTATTTATTTCCTGCTATGGATTCTCATGGTGTCTTGTGACAGAAATATTTGGGGCACTTAAGTATCCCCGAGTTTTCTTTTGAAATAAGGTCAACCACTGTCTGCCCTTGGTATGTTTGGTTGTTTTAAATAAGGCTCTGTCTCAATAGCACCACCTCTAGGCCCAGCCAGGGCAATTAGATAAAAGCCTCTGGGGCCTTGGAATGCATTTCCAAACAGGATTGGAATGTGGGTGAGATCTGATAGCTCCTCACAGCCTCCTGATACCAGAAGATGTTCTGTCCCAGCAACATAGGCTGACTCCAGGATGAGAGGACAGCAGGCTCAATGAAGATGCCCGTCTTCCTCCCCTCCTCTGTCTACCTTATAAAGAGGTTGACAAGTGAGCACTGACAGTGGCAGCAAACCACCCACATCGTGTAGTTCTGCCCATTGCACATTTTCATGAGGAGTCTGTGAAGGCTGCAGCTCCCAGGCCTCCCCACTTGCATGCAGTGTCCAGAACTGTTCATTGCTGCTCAGTGTAGCAGCTAAGAACTTGAGCTCTGGATTTTGACTGATCTGGCTTTGAAATCCAGCTCTGCTGCTAACTAGCTGTGGGGCCTTGTACAAGTTACTTTATTTTCCTGACTCGGTCTGTAAAATGGGTATGATAATAGTACCTATATATCAGGATCCCAATAAGAAATAGGAACGAATTATAAATGTGTAGAAGTGCTTTAGAAAACCACAAAAGATAGTAACGTATGCAGGTTTATGGCAGCAGATCTGTGACTTTCCTTAAGTCAATATCTAAGAGGGGAGATAGAAATTACAGGAACCCAGAGAAGAGAAGAGGTATTTAGAAAAGGCTTCTTTGAGGCCAGGTGCAGTGGCTTATGCCTGTAATCCCAGCACTTTGGAGACCAAGATGGGCAGATTATGAGGTTAGGAGTTCGAGACCAGCCTGGCCAATATGGTGAAACCCTATCTCTACTAAAAATAAAAAAAATTAGTTGGGCATCGTGGTGGGTGCCTGTATTTGGGAGGCTGAGGCAGGAGAATTGCTTGAACCTGGGAGGTGGAGGTTGCAGTGAGCCAAGATCGCTTCAGCCTGGCAGCAGAGTGAGACTCTGTCTCAAAAAAAAAAAGAGAAAAGAAAAGAAAAGATGTCTTTGAGAAAAGCCATGGCTTCATAGTCTATCAGAAATGACCTTACAGAGAGGGAATCCGACCTTATTTTACTTTCTTTCTCCAAAATCCTGCTCTTCTGAAGCTCCCTGCTGGCCAAACCCAACAAGAAGCCAGAGGGCATGGGAGCAGGTGATACGATCTGTACAGAGTGGCCTCCCAGGGTAGAGTGAGACAAACGGAAAAGTGTGAAAATGGCTGTGGAGCGCAAGTGGAAGACATCCAGCACTAACCAACTCACAGCCTTGCTGAGCTGATTAAATAATGTAATGACGTTAAAGGCTTAGCACATTTCCTGTCACCAGGTATTTCATGAAAGTTAGCTATGACCATTAGCATTGCTGTTTGCTGGATCTAAGTGAGTTGCCAATGTTTTAGGGTTAAGGACATGAAGCAGGACCTAACTGGAACAACCGAGGGCCATACATGTGGCCCCCACACAAGCCCAGGTAATGACAAGTTTGTGCTGCTTTTGGTACCAAAAGAAAATTAGGTTTGTGGCCGGGTGTGGTGGCTCATGCCTGTAATCCCAGGCACTCTGGGAGGCTGAGGTGGGTGGATTGTTTGAGCTCAGCAGTTTGAGACCAGTCTGGCAACATGGCAAAACCCTGTCTCTAAAAAAAAAAAAAAAGAAAAAAACTTAGCTGGACGTGGTGGCGCACATCTGAAGTCCCATCTACTCAGGGGCTGAGGCTGGAGGATCACTTGAGCCTCAGGAGGTCGAGGCTGCAGTGAGCTGTGATTGGGCCACTGCAGTCCAGCCTGGGCAACAGAGTGAGACCCTGTCCCAAAAAATAAGGAAAGAAAGAAAATTAGGTTTGTTTCTCCTCTCCTGAAAAATGCTCAAATATTTCTTCCACTCCTTCCCACGTCTTTCACCTGTACTGTTTCTTCTTGCCTGTTCTGTTAGCTTATGAACATGCTGTCATGAAGAAAATGTCTTTGTAGCTACTACTCACCAATGTAAGGGTTCTCAAAAGAGTAAGTGCTCTTCAGGTTATTGGAGGGACAGGAAAGGGAGCCTCAAAGTGCCAAGATGCGGGTATGTGTGGGATGTAGACATGAGCCATCAGCACCATGGGCGCTGATATTTTAGAAACAGATCCACTCTTGACCTTGGTATTAACAGACTTTCCAATGGCTATCTTTCTGCCCTTTACTTTCTGTATGACCATGAACAAGTCATATTACCTGGATTTCTGTAAATTCTCAGCCTCACTCCACAAGACTATTCCACAGATTAAAAATGACATGAAACACGTGAGTCTTTTTACATGAAGAAGATAGTAGCCTGCCTTCCTGCTGCCTGTATCTGTTGTCTGGGCTGGGAGGCTGTCTGGACTGCCACTGGGGGAAAACAAGAGGTCAGGAGAGAAGAATGGGAGGAAGAGAGATGTTTCAGATAGATAATCCCATGGTCCTCAAGGCAAGGGTCGGAAGAAACTGGCTGGAGAAGAGAGGGCGGGGAACATCCTGAGTTGAAAGCCTTCAGTGGGAGGCAGCATGAGAAAGGAGACAAGCATAGCCTTTGGTGCCATTAGTCCAGATGGGGTTGCCACCCAGTCCCACCTCTTATTGATATGAACTTGGATGAGCTGGGTCATCTCTTTGATCTTCAGTTTCCTTGTTTGTTAAGATAAGAAAAAAAAAACGACATATGCAAAAGGCTAGTGGATGTTCAATAAATGGCTCTTCCTCTTGAAATCCCTTTTATTTTATTTTACTTTCTTTTAAAAGCATCCATTAATGCACCCATAACAGGGAGCCACAGATTCTCTGATTAATTAAATCAACACCAACAGAAAATAGAAGTAGGTCCCAATTCTTCCACACTCAAGTGCTATGGTGAAGCACATCTCTGAAATGTCCTCTGGGTTCCCCGCTCCAGACATGGTACCTGCTGATCCTCTCTCTGTAAAGCTGCCTTCTCACCTGTCTGTCCATTGCCATCAGATCTTCCCTCTCATTTCTCCTTTGTCTGTCCTTCTGTAGAGCTGTGTTCATATCTCAGTTAAAGAGCTCATCACACTGTGATGTTGTGATCTGCCCACAGGTTCCCAGTTATGCTGAGCACTCTGTGCAGGCAGCATCTGAGCAAACACATGTATAGACCTTCCAGATCCCAGACACTGTGTCACCATGCTTCCTCTACGTGCCATCTCATTGAATCCTCACATGTGTACTGTTAACTTCACTTTAAGAATATGGAAACTGAGGCATCGAAAGTTTTAGCTTTTAGGCTGGGCAACATGGTGAAATCTCATCTTTACAAAAAATAGAAAAATTAGCTGGACATGGTGGCGCATGCCTATAGTTCCAGCTACTTGTGAGGCTGAGGTCAGAGAATCACTTGAGCCTGGGAGGCAGAGGTTGCCGTGAGCCGAGATTGCACCACTGCACTTCAGGCTGGGCAACAGAGCAAGACCTTGTCTCAGAAAGAAGAAGAAAATGTTTAAGCTTTTTACCTAAGGTCTCAAAGGTGCAGTGCATGTAGCAGAGCCAGGATTCGTACTTGGTCTGCCTCAAGAGTCTGCATTTGTTTTCCCTTCACAATAGTCCTGTTGGTATTAGCTCCAAGTGCAGTACCTGCCTCATAGTATGTCTTCAAGAAATGCTTATTGGATTAGCTGAAATAAACACCCAAAGCTGTACTTAGAAACTTTTAGCTTTATGAACTATATATTCTCATTTGAAGAAAATGACACTTTAACAAATTCGATGAGGTATAAAAGAAAGCCAGGCTTAACACTTAGTCATCGTGCTGTTATATATAAGACAATTTATGTAGGATCCTTTTTACATACAGAAAATTACTTAACCACAGATAGCACACACACTCACATGCACACCACATCACACGCTTGCTGATGTTCCTTTTCCTAGGAAGAGAGGTAGAAATAAACTGGGATCATTGGGGAGTAAGATGCCAGCACATCTCCTTGCTGATGTAGGGAAATTCCAGTAACTCACATTTAGAATGTTGCCTTGGGTGGGAAGCAGCTGAGGGCTGCACAGAGGAGTGAGATAAATGTTACCAGCATTGGACTTGACTGCAGTTTAACCCAAGGTCACTGGGAGGCCAGAGCAGAATCAGGGAAGGAATGTTGGCTCCTGGAGCCAGCTGAGCCTCTGGCTAGCTCCTGTCTTGGCCTTCCCATGCAGCCGGGTTGTGAGCTGTGACGGTCCTTAGCAACCCTGCCCTATTCCTCCTCACAGGAAAGGAACGATCTTGCTGCCAGGCAGGCAGGCAAGCAACCCCAGTGTGACCCTCATTCCTCCTTGCCTACACAACCCACCTCCCCACTCATACAAAAGAAGCTTTCAGAACCTGGTTACCTAGAGTTGAACTTTTCAACAAGGCTTTTTGTATTTTTTTTCCTTTAAGCTCCGCAGCTAAAATACCAGATCTCGCTGTTGCTAAGATTAAGGATTTTCCCCTCTGTTTTCTCCCTCAGCTCAGTTTCCGTTGACTAGGAAAGACCAAGAGATGGATTACCGTTCCCTTGCCAAATGGAGAGAGGGTACTTGAGCATCCGGGGCTTTCAGTGGGATTAGACATTATTCAGTCTGGTGCTAATAGTCCTTATTTACTCCTCAGCCTCTCACAAAAGTCGCCGCGTTTGTTTCAGTAACTAAGGCCTACAGAAACCACTCAGCCCTAAGTGCACACAGGAGGACCATGGAGTTGGAGGAAAAGGTAATTTAACATGAATATTTATACATTGTACAAACTGCGTGCCATGATTCACTCAGCTTATTTTCATTTTATGCATTTTCTTCCCATTTGCAGTCTTTATTTATTGCAAAGTTAAGGCTGTTAGCAAAATAACACATTGGGGTAGGCTTCCTTCCTTCCTTCCTTCCTTCCTTCCTTCCTTCCTTCCTTCCTTCCTTCCTTCCTTCCTTCCTTCCTTCCTTCCTTCCTTCCTTTCTTTCTTTCTTTCTTTCTTTCTTTCTTTCTTTCTTTCCTTTTCTTTTCTTTCTTTTGTCCTGCTTTCTAATCTATCTCTGGGAAAGTGAGCTAATAGAGCAGCAAAATTGGTCACTACTGCTAATCCCCAGAGGTTGAACTGAGCTCAGTGTTCTTGCCAGGCCATTACTGGAGATCACAGTGACTATGTGAGCCCCGTGGACACAGAACTGTGGCAGTGCACATTAGTCACCATTTAGTAACATGGATGATTTAGGAATCACCCATGTCTCTGCTTTTCAAGGTAGGAATGTAAGTACCAACATTTATGGAGGGTTCACTGGGTGTCCATGGTCTGGAGCTAGAGACTTGAGTTCACGGTCCAACATTGCTACCTGCTAGCCCTGTGATTTTGGGCAAATAACTTCAAAATTCAGAGCCTCTATGTCCTCATATAATATAAAATAGGCATATTAATGAAATTTTCTTCACATAGGTAGGTGCATGTTGAAATGTATAACGTGTGTAAGTACTCAGTTTGACATATGACAAGCTTGAAATCAATGTTAGCTCAAGTTAGATGCATGTGGTTCTAACAGTACTCTGGAGGCTGATGGGGAACTGCCTGTCCTAAAGAGGGTAACTCCCTTCCTAATGTACATACTCAGAACATTTTGGAACCAGCTGTCCAATGCAGTGTTGGTTCTTTCCAAAGTGTATGGTCTATTCATGATGAAATACACCTCAGTATCTCTTGCTCTTTTTTGTTAGAGATATTTGAAGCCCAGCAGCACTGAGCTTTTTGAGGGGCCTTGACTTGGATACAAATGATAAGAACAGGTAAAAAGACTCAGGTGGAATTTTCCTCATATCAATGCCTGTGTGGAGTTTAACCTTTTAGGAAGAGTCATATTAATGGTGTGATTCATGGCTGAGTTCCATTTCAGTGGGAGCTAAAATTCCCAGCAGTAAGCTTCTCTGGAGCCATTATAGTCTTAACTGCTGGTTTACTGAGAAGCTCACCTCTCAAGCCCGAAGGAATACCCTGTCCAGTTCCCAATGTGATTTCCAAGAGAAACCGAGACACATTGGGTGTGGCCATAAGAAGCCCACCAGGGTGGTGAGGGCTGTGAGGACACATGCTACGAGGGACAGGCATTAGATTTGGGGTGAGAAGCCCTGATGTATGAAAAAAAAGACTGCGCTTTAACGTTGAGGCGCCAGACAGCAGGTCTTGGTCAACAGGTGTAAGTTACTGGGAAGATTTGAATTCAGTGAAGAAAGAGAGTGTTAAGCCTAAAAAGAGTTTGGAGCCTGGGTGAGGTGGCGGACACCTGTAATCCCAGCACTTTGGTAGGCCAAGTGGGTGAATCACCTGAGGTCAGTAGTTCAAGACCAGCCTGGCTAATATGGTAAAACTCTGTCTCTACAAAAATACAAAAATTAGTCGGGCATGATGGCAGGTGCTTGTAATCCCAGCTACTCAGGAGGCTAGGGCAGAAGAATTGCTTGAACCTGGGAGGTAGAGGTTGCAGAGAGCCAAGATTGTGGCATTGCACTCTAGTCTAGGCAACAGAGCCTCAAAAAAAAAAAAAAAAAGCGTTCCAAAATAGAATGAGCACTATGAGGGCATGAGTTGTTTTTCATATCCACAGCTCTGACCAATGGACTGAAATTTTTAATCATGTTTTTCCAAGGCATTATGCATGGATAAGATAATAAGTTCCTTCTTGCTCTAGGTATCCATTACTGTGATAGATGGGGTACCTGTCGATTTGCAAAAGGTTTTCTTACCTGTTTTCTTTCACCCCCTCATGCTCAGTTCATCAGTTGACCAATAAATAGCTATTTTACTCCTATTGTATAGCACTAGCTATGCAATTTTATAGTACATATTGTATAGCACAAGTATGCAATAGGAAACGAGTATTACTCTCAAGAACCTTATAGTCTTTTTGGAGAAATCGTCAAGAAACAGACATTTGTATTAGAGCATGGCATGGGCTATAAGGGGAAGGGTAAGAGCACAGAGGAGGAACACCATCCCTGCTAGAGGTGAGAGAAGGAAGGCTTCCTGGAGGAAGGGATGTCTAGGATGGGCCTTACTTGGAGCTGAATAGTAATATAAACCTAGCAGGCAAGGCATTAGCATGGGCAAAAGCCTGAAGGCCTAAAAGAATAAGATAGGGTAGGGGAGTTGGAAGTTCTGTTTAGTTAGAGCAGAGTGTTGGAGGTTGAAGGTGAAGGCACAAAGAGATGAGACTGGAGAAAGAAGTCACTGTAGATGGCAAACATAGCCACCGTCTTTTTTCCCTCTCATCAACAAGGAAAGTCTGCTTTCTCATCTCATCCTTTCAATCTGAGTTGGCTATAGGACTTGCTCTGGCCAATGAGAAATTAGCAAAAGCAATAAGACACTTGAGAAATGCTTGCAGGCTGGGTGAGGTGGCTCACACCTGTAATCCCAGTACTTTGGGAGGCTGAGGTGAGTGGATCAACTGAGGTCAAAGGTTTGAGACCAGCCTGGCCAATGTGGTGAAACCCCATCTCTACTGAAAATACAAAAATTACCCAGGCATGGTGGTGTGCTCCTGCAATCTCAGCTACTTGGGAGGCTGAGGCAGGAGAATCACTTGAACCTGGGAGGTGGAGGTTGCAGTAAGCCAAGATGGCACCATTGCACTCCAGCCTGGGCAACAAAGTGAGGCTCTGTCTCCAAAAAAGAGGAAGAAGAAGAAAGAAGATGAAGAAGAAAGAAGAAGAAGGAGGAGGAGGAGGAGAAGAAGAAAGAAGAAGAAGGCGGCCAGGTGTGGTGGCTCATGCCTGTAATCCTAGCACTTTGGGAGGCTGAGGTGGGTGAATCACAAGGTCAGGAGTTCCAGATCAGTCTGGCCAACATGGTGATACCCTGTATCTACTAAAAATACAAAAGGTTAGCTGGGCATTGTGGCAGGCACCTGTAATCCCAGCTACCCTCGAGGCTGAGGCAGGAGAATTACTTGAACCTGGGAGGTGGAGGTTGCAGTGAGCCAAGATCATGCCACTGCACTCCAGCCTGGCAATAGAGCAAGACTTCGTCTCAAAATAAAATAAAATAAAATAAAAGATTGAGACAATCCTGGCCAACATGGTGAAACCCCGTCTCTATTAAAAATACAAAAATTAGCTGGGCGTGGTGGCACATGCCTGTAGTCTAGCTACTTGGGAGGCTGAAGCAGAATTGTTTGAACCCAGAAGGTGGAGGTTGCAGTGAGCTGAGATCACGCCACTGCCCTCCAGCCTGGCAACAGAGCAAGACTGTCTCAAAAAAAAAACAAGAAAAAGAAAACAAAGAAAAGAAAAGAGAAATGCTTACATATAGGGGTCTCTTGCTACTCTTTAAAGCTGATACTGACATTTTCATAAGTCCAAGGTAGCCTGCTGGATGGTAAGAGACACTTGCCTTAGTTTCTTCGGCATCCCAGCCTATAGTCAGCTGTTTCCAGAAGCCGAGTTGCCTAGCTGACCTGCAATTGACCATGGATGCAGGAGTGAACACAACTGAGCTTAACATAAGAACTGCCCAGCTGAACCCAACCCAAATTGCTGACTTATAGTATCATGAGCTAAAAGGCTATTATTTTAATCGGTGAAGGTTTTGTATGTGGTGGGGGGTGGGGGAGAATAGATGTGTTTGTTTGTTTGCAGTAATAAGCTAATTGGTATGGCAGTCTTGGAGACTTATAAATTATGTTAAAAAATTTGGACTTTAATCCACAGGTGTGTGGATACGTCAGAGGATTTAAGCCATGGAACTGGTAGTATCAGATTTGTGTTTTAGAGAAATCACTCTTGGATACAGCCAATGAGATCATGAGTAGTTAAGTATCTTGCAAGTTGTAAATAGGTGTACAAATGAGTTTGTGAGTAAAAATAGTACATACACATAACCTGGTGATGCTTGGGACACAATTTCAAGGGAAACCCTCAGATCAAACCTCTGAAAACATCTAGTAATGGCATGCTTTTAACAATATCACATCTGGCTATAAAAAAAAAAATCTCCCAAGTACCCTGCCTCTGATAACCAGCCGAGGGCCTAGAAGAATTGACCAAAGCAGAATGGCTTAGAAAGGTAGTCAGAATGCACCAAGGTCATGAAAGTTTCCCTTCTCTCAGAGAGACCTGGTGGAACAGCAGTTCTTCAGGCTAATGTGGTCCCTGTATCACAGACCTGGTCATAGACTCGCAAAAGAGCCTTTTAAGAGATTCCCATAAGGAGATAAACAGAGAAGTGAACAAAGATTAGTGTGTTTCTTCTTTAAGACATTATTTATAATGTGAAAAAGTGAATCTTATAAATGTCCAACAATAGGAAAATGGCGATAAAAATTTTTATACAACTACAAGGCTGGAAACTACACAAATGTTAAAGTAAAGTTTTCAGGGTGACCACACAGAAAAAAGGTAGCATTTTAACAAAATATGTATAGAGTATGGGAGAGACAAGTTTTCCACCAAAATCCATTCTCCCCTTTTATCTTTAATAATAGAATTCAAGATTTTTAGCTACACAGCTAGAAACATGGCTGCACAGCTAGAAACCTCATTTCTCACCCTCCTTGGCTGCTGGGGTGTGACCGGGCATCTGAACTCTGGACTGTGGAATGTGACCAGGAGTGATGTGTGCTATTTCCAGACTGTCTCCAAGTAGTTGGCTGTTGGGCATGATTACGTAACTGAGTTTTGGACCATGGAGTGTTGCATGCCATTTTCAGATTGTCCCCAAGTATTCGTGGCCATGTTCA